GCGCCCTAACCACCTGGCCATGCCGGGCCCAATCAGGTTTGTATTTGTTTGCTTTAGCGCAAAGGTACAGAGGAACTAAAGGCGATGTGCACGTCACGGGGATCGAACCCCAAATTCTCGTGTTGCAAAATCGTCAAGATTATTACTGTGCTACTGCGGGTCAAGCGGTCAGTTGTATCTATTATTATTTTGGACTAATGACCAAGTTCTGACAGTAATTCCTGCCATTAGTGCCTTGACTGTCTCTTTTGAAATAATAGTATTGACTGTTACTTTTATAATGCACGTGCACGGGTGACAATGTGTAGCCTAGTAAACACCATAACGTATCGCACCTCTGCCCACGAATTAAATTGGGGCTGAACGGAGTTCTGCCTCTTGAGGATTCAGGCCATTAACATTCCTGGTCTTCTGACTTGAATGTCAAAGTGGATGACAGAAGGGAGTTACACCTCTTACAAAATCCCATTTTAACCACTGCCTTCAATCCCGAGTTAGCACTCTGATCATTAGGCCTAACTTATTTTAAATACATTTTCTTTCGTCACATTTTTTTACTTCCTAGTCTACATTGTTAGAGAATTTTAAAAAAAACATAAAACTGTTTCATTCTACAATATTTAGCAGTAAATGTTAGTTTTTATGGGAGTATTGTTGTTGTTTTTTTATTTAAGTGTTGTGTGATATTAACCCACGACTTTTTTCTCTTCAGCATAATTGTGGGTTTACGAATGGGCGTAAAATCTGTATTAAAAATCACGTAAATCACTTGGAACCATGAATAGACAAATTAAAGAAATTCTTGGTGAATTTCTGTTTGAAATATTATAAACAAAACTTATAATAATTAACTTTCAGCTTAGGGCTTTTCTTAACACAATTATTTTGTGTTTTAATATTTTCGTACCTTTAAGTTTGTATATTTTGTACATTTATATTATATTAGCTTCATCTCTAACAATGGCATCACAATGTTATTATTTCTTTGTGAAAACACTTTATTTTCACATATATATACTTATTTAAATGTAGAAATTATCAATTAACAATTCTATTTTTCAAATGTTATTGTTTAAACTAGATTTAAAAACAAAATTAGTATCAAATTAAACTAAAAGTCTAGAATAATATATAATTATCAACTTTAATGTAATTCAAAGCAATCATTAAAATAGCAAAACTTTAAAAAAAAATTATAGTTCAAACGAACTCTCACCTGTAGCTCGAGACACACACATTGGAAACATGCTACTTCCACAAGAAGCTTGATAAAGACCTCCCTTACGCATCAAAACGCACGTATTAGCGTTGACAGTCGGAGCTGTGGCGAAAGGCCAATCATTGCTATTACCAATTACGTTTTGGTATTCGTCCGTCAGACTAGTGCCGTTCACATATATCCCAATCGCGACTGGCATGTTTGCAAAGTTCGTAGCCAACTGTTGAACCACTTCGGGGGTTTTAGGGACAGCAAGCGTTAACCCTCGATCTTCACAGAACTTTCGAATAGCTGTGTAACCTTCTATCATTGTTGGAAATACGGTATAACAGGTGTCGCTAACGCAGTAAACAAGGTCGACTGTAAAAATGTAAACATATGTTCAGTGTTCAAACAATGATGTTTTCAATAATGTCAACTTTAACAAAACTGTTCTAGTTCTGATCTGTAGGAGAACAACAGTTCTCATCACAGAATCAACACAAGTTGATAACTATATACATAAATCTGAACGGGTAAAGATTCAACATGCACTTAATGGTGTTGAGAAACAAATCCTGAACTATAGGGTTGACGGTTTCTCTATGGAACAAACACTATCTATGACTTTTACAGAACTGTATCTAAAAAGAGATTTCAGAATGTTGAGGTGGATATAAAGGATAACATGGGTCGGTGTATACCATTTGAACATGGATGACATAGGTCGATATATACCATTTGAACAAGGATGACATGTGTTAGTGTATACCATTTGAACAAGGATAACATGGGTCGGTGTATACCACTTGAACATGGATGACATAGGTCGATATATACCATTTGAACAAGGATGACATGTGTTAGTTGTTCAAATGGATACAAGGATAACATGGGTCGGTGTATACCATTTGAACACGAGAGAGTCATCATTACGCTTCACTTCCGTCGTCGTCATGAAGCTATGAATTATTAAGAAGAATTATTGTGAACAGATTTTTTATTATAATAATATTACTGAAATATTTAATCACCTATGTCGCCCTCTAGCGGCGTGGCTGTCAAGTGGGGGACTTACTACTGTTAACTCGTGGACTAAAAACGTATATTTTTTTTTCTGTTAACTTTCAGTTTTAACAAATATTATCACAACCCGTCATTTCTTCCGTTAAAATGTAATAAGGAAGCACAGCGGCATGTCTGCGGACTTACAACGATAGAAACCGGGTTTCGATACCCGTGGTGAGCAGAGCACAGATAGCCCCAGATTTTAGTTTGCAATTTCGTTTCTTTATTTATTTGTTAGGAGAAAACACAGACCGAAAAAACGAACACGAATCAACTGATTAAATTAAATCTCTAAATATATTAAAATAATGTCGTGGATTTTAACCAGGTTCTCTATATAGTAGTATTATATTTTAGTCTTGTCCAAAAAGGGAAGACTATTAATATAACATGTTTTGTGACTTCAAGCTATAGCTCCTGTAACAATACTTGGTAATACCTTGGGAGTCACTAGACTTTATCGACTGTTTACAATTTGAAAGTGTTCAATCATGGAAACAATAATAACCAATTCCATTTTGGCATGTTGAAATCATGTAACTACCATAATAGCTGTGATGTTAGGATGTTCATGTTTGGCTCGTCATTAAATAAGATGTATGGTGTAAACAACAAAATAATGGTAATATCTATCATTTTTAATCCATGAACAGAAATTCCTTGACTGTATATTTATAGTTCTCTATAAGAACTGATACACTTACCTTGTGTTGTTTCCTGGACTTGGGCGTAAGCATACGATGTTTGTGTCGTGGCTAAGAGTGGAACCAGACACAGCAGTAGCTATGTATTTATAAGAACCAGATACAGTTGGAATTATTATCTGTATAAATAACGAAACTAAAATGACAACACAAAAATACCAAAATAATTTTATTTTTGAAGAACGATAAATATATCTAGCACCACTCACAACATGACTGAATACAGAGATAATATGAATTGTAGGCTAATATATCTAGCACCACTCACAACATGACTGAATACAGAGATAATATGAATTGTAGGCTAATATATCTAGCACCACTCACAACATGACTGAATACAGAGATAACATGGATTGTAGGCTAACATATCTAGCACTAGTCATAAAATCACTGAATACAGAGAGAATATGAATTGTAGGCTAACATATCTAGCACCACTCACAACATGACTGAATACAGAGATAATATGAATTGTAGGTTAATATATCTAGCACCAGTCACAACATCACTGAATACAGGGATAATATGAATTGTAGGCTAACATATCTAGCACCAGTCACAACATGACTAAATACAGAGATAATATGAATTGTAGGCTAATATATCTAGCACCAGTCACAACATGACTGAATACAGAGATAATATGGATTGTAGGCTAACATATCTAGCACCACTCACAACATGACTGAATACAGAGATAATATGAATTGTAGGTTAATATATCTAGCACCAGTCACAACATCACTGAATACAGAGATAATATGAATTGTAGGTTAATATATCTAGCACCACTCACAACATGACTGAATACAGAGATAATATGGATTGTAGGCTAACATATCTAGCACCAGTCACAACATGACTGAATACAGAGATAATATGAATTGTAGGTTAATATATCTAGCACCAGTCACAACATGACTGAATACAGAGATAATATGAATTGTAGGCTAACATATCTAGCACCAGTCACAATTATTGGCTAGTGGTTGATTTTAAATCGGAGACTTGTTTTAAATTATTTCACAATTTGTAATGGTTTTAAAGATAGAACTGGGTAAATGTTTCTTATTCTACATGATAAAATTCACCTTACTAGAATAACAAATATTATATCAATACTTCTATATAATGGTGGTTGTCAACACATATTTCATAAATATATAAACACTCACTAGTATACTTACACATAAAGTTAGGACTTGACGCATCATCTGCTCCATCTTCAGTATTCTTCCTGCAGAAGTTTTAGTCAGCTCCTTACAACTTGGTAACCTTTTGAGCTCGGGTCTGTTTATATAGTTGTGGAAATGATAAACCTATACCTTTCTGTAGGCGGAGCCACACTTGTTAAGAACAGCTGTTTCAGGGCGTGGCCTACTTCTGTAAATTCAACATCCCTCATATATCAGTTTTTGTGACGTCTTCTTATTTGTTGAAAACTTATAGAGGGATGTACCAAAACATGTGGAAGTTGATAACACAGAAAACAATCTCACTTGTAGACAACCATGAGTTGATATCACATTTAGATGTAACTTAAACAAATCAAACATTAACTTTTAATTTAAATCCTAAGGGAAAAATTAAACAGTATTTGTCTGTCGTTAAGCCATTCCAGAATGTCGCTTAAATCAAACAGTATTTGTCTGTCGTTAAGCCATTCCAGAATGTCGCTTAAATCAAACAGTATTTGTGTGTCGTTAAACCATTCCAGAATGCCGCTTAAATCAAACAGTATTTGTCTGTCGTTAAGCCACTCCAGAATGTCGCTTAAATCAAACAGTATTTGTCTGTCGTTAAGCCATTCCAGAATGCCGCTTAAATCAAACAGTATTTGTCTGTCGTTAAGCCACTCCAGAATGTCGCTTAAATCAAACAGTATTTGTCTGTCGCTAAGCCATTCCAGAATGTCGCTTATGAACATCGATGATATTTTCACGAATATCTTGTCGATATCACGTGAAAGCCGTTTGTTGTTTAAAGGTAACATGTATATCATTGGTTAGTTTTCATTGATCACTAAATCCAAAATCTAACCCATCTAAGTAACTGACTTGCTAAAGAAAAATTAATTTTAATCAAAAGACACTTTTTTTTTACTCCGTAACGTGACACTTGAAGTTATGATACTCTTAACTTTGATCATTAATTACTCATATTTTACTGAATGTGATGACTAAATAACGTTGTTAGTGTAATGTCAATTTTAGTTATTAATTACTGATATTTTACTGAATGTGATGACTAAATAACGTTGTTAGTGTAATGTCAATTTTAGTTATTAATTACTGATATTTTACTGAATGTGATGACTAAATAACGTTGTTAGTGTAATGTCAATTTTAGTTATTAATTACTGATATTTTACTGAATGTGATGACTAAATAACGTTGTTAGTGTAATGTCAATTTTAGTTATTAATTACTGATATTTTACTGAATGTGATGACTAAAATTGACATTACACTAACAACGTTATTTAGTCATCACATTCAGTAAAATATCAGTAATTAATAACTAAAATTGACATTACACTAACAACGTTATTTAGTCATCACATTCAGTAAAATATCAGTAATTAATAACTAAAATTGACATTACACTAACAACGTTATTTAGTTACTAATTACCGATATTTTACTGAATATCATGACTAGCTAACGTTGTTAGGATGATGCAAGCTTTCATCATTAATCACTCATATTTTACTGAATAACTAACGTTGTTAGGATAATATTAACTTTTATCATTAACTGGTAATATTTTACTGTATATCATGAGTTACTACTCTTGCTAAGGTACAGTTATTTTTAAACAGAAATTAACGTTTCTTTACTAACTAACTTTATCTTTGTCCTTAAAAAATGCAGCTCTTAAAAGGTTTAATATATTTGTAATTTTTGCTTGAAAAGGTTTTTAAACATTAGCACTGGAAGGTGTTTATGTATGTTGTTGTTTGTTATTACGCGCAAAGCTACTCAAAGAACTCTCTCTCTTTGCTCTGCTTACCACGGGTATTGAAACTCGGTCCGCAGACATACCACTGTTCCACTTTGTCCCATTGATGTAAGGAAGTAATATAAATGATATATAATTAAATATTAGTTTTATGGGCAAATGTTAATCACGAAATATTCTCACAGTATTGGGTTATGCTACTTGTGGAAATGAAGAGCTATACAATGTATTATGTGAACTCTGTCCACGATGTGGAATCAGACCCTGGACTTTAGTTTTGTAAGCTTGTAAGCCTGCTAACCCTGCAGATATTCACAGCTTTGTGGTACATTATTAGTTCCCTGATTAAGATTTTCATCTATTCGAAATAACGTTTCATATTCGTTTTCTTGTATTTTACTCAAGTTTGGATTTATTTTCCAATATGGCCGATTTATTTAAATATTACGTATAATGATTGTATTTGCTGTGTTACATAATATTAATAATTATAATTAATACACTTCTCCTGTGTTCTATAACATAATATAGTATTATTAGTTTCATAAGAAGACTTGATCCTTATAATTAATATACTTCTCCTTTAATCTATAACATAATATGGTATTATTTGTTTCATAAGAAGACTTGCTCCTTATAATTACTATACTTCTCCTGTGTTCTATAACATAATATGGTATTATTTGTTTCATAAGAAGACTTGCTCCTTATAATTAATATACTTCTCCTGTGTTCTATAATATAATATAGTATTAT